ATGGAGTTCTCCTGTTAGGCAGAACTCCAACGCCAGACCATCTCATTCACTCATTCGCTCAACAGCTTTGTGTCTCTTATTATTATTAGGGCTTTGTGTCTCTTATTATTCTAGGCTTTATAGTGAAGAAGATAAACAAAACATTTAGGTATCCATGGCTCTTAGATCTTAGCTGGGAGGATGGAAAGAATATAGACAAGGAATAAATATGTACAGGTCCACAATCTCTTATCTGTGGTTCTGAAATTCAAAAAGCTCTTTGAACTGAAAGATCCTTTCTAACGCAGTTGACAGTTAGACCTGACCTGACTTGAACTTAACTGGCAGCAAGCCCTGACCTGGAGAAAGGTGAAGCTATTTGTAGTCTTTGTTGATCTCTCTTCGCATGAATCCCCATGCGCTGCAATGAGGAAATATTAATGTTTGATTATGGGGAGCTGTCACAGACCCTAATGGGAGTATGCCTTATGGTCATTATAAAAAAAAATTTTTTTTAAGTTGAATTCCGAAACACAGGAAGTCTTAAGGATTTTGGACAAGGGTTGCAGACTTGTAATTGGGCTTGCTAAGTGATATAAGAAAAAACTGATCAAGGTAAGAGGAGAGAGAACATGCAAAGTGCTATATGCATCCTAAACACTAATGATTGCTATGATTCTTCTTGGCATGCATCCGACTCTGCGAGCAGCTTCTAACATGTAAGGATGAGGAAATATAAGCACCAGTAGAAGATAGAGAGACGACTGCAAATATATCATTCAGAAACAATCATTTAACAGCTTCTAATCAATTCTCACCAAGTAATTTTTTAAATACATTACATTTTTAAATATTAAATACATTATAAAATCTTATTAAAATTATGGCCTGATGTAAGAGGACATTAATGCTCTTAAAGCATGTGGAGTCCAAGGACATGGATTTCAGTTATGCCTTTCTATAATAAGGACATAAATATACATTTAGATAAATAATAACTAGATGGATTAATTAGTGACATGGCAAAAAGAGCGCGAGAAGCAAGAAAATCTGAATTATTTCCTCTGTGAGTGTTGGTGGTCCAACCTAAACAAATTTATGGCCTTTTTCTACACGTAGGCATGGCGTACAGAAATTTTCTATGCTGTGTAGTGATAGCATCAGTCTTGCCAACCGCAAATTCTGTGGCCCTGTTTATATTTAAATTTTTTCTCATGCCATTCTGCATATAATACAGTCTTCACCTGCTAGGGAATATTATTGGTAGGCTGTTATCAACATGTTTAAAAGATATAAGTGGTGTCTGACTCTATGGTCTGACTCTATTGCCTTAATATTTTGTCTTAAGGGTATAGTCGTAATAATATTTAGGGTGCATTGAGCTGTGTCATAAACCCAGGATAAACATAATGAATATTAAAGACTGGATATGCATCTTGACATATGCAGGATTTACATTTTTAAGTGATTTCTGGCTCTTTGATCTCCAAAATTTTTAAAGAAAATGTTATGTTTGGCAAAGAATCATACGTTAAGATCTACAAAATCAGTGTTGGGTGAAAAGTTAAGTATAATTTCATCATCCCTTTTGGCACATGATTATGTCATCTCTGTTTGCATGCTTGCAAGAATACTCAGCCACCTCTATATCTTTTTACCGCTTCATTTTTGCTCTATGTGGAGTGAAATATTATATTAGTAAGTGTTGACTGTATTTTCTGAAATTATAGAGACTAGACTCTTCTTCCAATCTTTGACATATGCTACCATAGTCTACCCTCATCTTTTCTTTCTGAAGTTCTGACAACAATTAGTTTTGGCAAATTTCTTCATAGTTCCTGGTTTTTAAACCAAACAGTTTCTAGTAGACGCTGTCTTATTTTGTATTGGCCGCTTGAAAATGTAACACCCAGAAACAGTCAAGGTAATCTAGCAGTGTTCTGACCAACATAGACTATAATGACAATAAATGACAGTTTCCTAAATCTGGAATCATACTGTTATTTTGCAATCTTATCATATATTATCTATGTATTTATTGTTTTTGTTTTTGTTTTTTTACTCAGAACTGTTATGTTTGGTACATTTCTGGTGTCTCTGGTACTTTGCTTGGGCTCCAGATTTAGATTTCTTAGATTTCTATAGATTGTCCTTTGTTCATGGTTGGTTGTATCTGTGATACGTAAAAACAGTCTATTTACTAGTAAACTGATACGTTTCTGTGAAGGCTGTACAAGGGAATAGTTCAAGATACCCAGAAAAACTCCAATTACATTAATTGGAGTTTTAAAAGCAGAGTTTTTGTTTTGTTTTACACTTTGAGGTATAATTCAATTGTTAAGCCTGCAGTTAACCATATTCTCATTACTTTGTGCCTTACATTTACTGATTTCAGAAAATGTCAGTGGGGATTCATGTTCAAACGTGGAGCCCAGAAGTAACAAGTAATAGCTTCAAGTAGTATTGTTGAATATAAAGTTTTTGGAGGGGGAAAAATGCACACCTTATCTTGGTATTTGTTTTCTAGAAATGACCACAAGGATGTTAAAGTTTCTTTCTTTCTTTTCTTTTGTTTTAAAACTTATGTGGGTAGAAGAATGAGTTACAGTGTTGATTACAGATCTTCACTGCAGACCTTCAGCTTATGAGGTTAGGGCAGTGATTTATAATGTTGACTATAGGTCAGATTGTCTTTGAGAAAGCTGTGCTTTCAACACCACAGGATTAAAAGGGAAAACCGAAAGGAAAATCACTATATTAAAAACAACCCTCCTCCCCTCTCTTACTCTCAACCCCCACTCTCCCCAATATCCTGGTTTATAAACCAGTGTCAAATTGATGCTGGTGACTGATTGTCTTTGCCTCCATATGTCGACTTCCTTACTGTTTTACTTTTCCCAACTTCCCTGTCTGTGCTCATTACTTTCACTCACTCTTGTTCTATCAGGATTATTAAACTGGTTGAGTCCTGCTTTGTGGCCTCTTTGAAAGGAAACTCATGGCTATAGCCAAAGACAATGGAGGAAATTCCGCTTTCCTGGTTTTAGCATCATATTGCTAAGGGAGTTACACTGTGTCATGAAAAATTGGTTGGTTACCAGATTTCCAAGACCTCACTCATGGATGTAACCCTTATAAAATATAAATAAAGGCAAGAATCCAAGAAAGCCATACTAAGCTTCCCAAAGGGAATTATATTTTCAAGATAGTAAACTTTTAAGCATATTATATATGATCCTTTTAAATGTTATAACTGCTTTCCTGATTATAGGGAGTGAAGTGGCCAATAACACAAGCAAAAGTATGGAAAATAATAGTTTTGAAAAGCTGTCATTTACATATCCATGCTGGATGTGGAAATAATGCATATTGCACATTTTTTTTTCATAAATTAGCTAAGCCCTTACTTTAGATTTTAAGTGGTCTTACATTTTATCTTTTATTCCAACTTCTTTCCTCGTTCTAGAATTTTCACATTGACAAACACTTTCTTAATGGCACCTCTATCTAATATGGATAACTTAGAAATGAGAAATTCTGATTCATCTGTTATCTTAATAAAACCAAGTTATTAACATAAATGTGTGATAATATTTTCCATAAAGATTATTCTCTTGGGGAAAAAAACCTATTGACAATGATAAACTGCCCAGACTTTACTCTTATAGTGGGTAACATAATCAGAACATCCCTGGGGAGTCAATTCATTAAGAAATGTAAAATATTTCATTGGAGGAGTATAATTATTGACAGGTTATTAGTCTTCAGATGTGCCCCCCCTGCACATATAGACTAAAGTTCCACTGTACTTGCCTAATAAACTTGTAAACCAGAAAAGCAAAAGTTGAATGGTTTATCAACGTCAACAACACTCTAGTTAGAGGAAACCTGAGTCACATAAGCAATCCTTGAGTATATATGTTTTTCATTATAATAATTGGCTTTTTAAAAGGCATATTCATATTAAATGTGTATGTCTTCTGAATGTAGATCTTCTGAAAAGGGATAACCAAATAGTGAAGTGTAAGCCAGGGACCATTTTGAGGCATAGACTCCAGTTGATAGAGGACATTACAGGAAAGGCCAATCACCAGAAAACCAAAGTGACATTTGGGATCATCATTGACTGTCCTTCCAACCAGGTTTTAGTTTCTTTCATTCATTGGATAACACTGAATGTTTTTGATTTACAGCGCGGAGAGAAAATCTGTGGCAACTCAAACATGGAATACATTTCAGCTAATCTTTCCTCTCTTTATGAACAACTAACTGATTAAAAACAGTGAACAGGATTATAATGGAAATGTGTGTTGTAGAATCAGACTAAAAATCTCATAGCTATCGAAGTGAACTTCTCCAGATTGTCATTGTGCTACTTTAAAGTCTTCCCTGGCTTTTTCATTCATTGGAACTCTACACTTTCTTAGTTCTAAAAGCAATGCAACCCATTCTTAAAAATACAAACAAAACAAAAGAAAATTCTGTAATTTTGATATTTGCTTATGCCAGTTTAAGTCACTAATTTTAATTATTTCTAGTATTTTAAATCTCTATTTATTTATTCTTTTTTTAAATTAAAAAATTTTGGGGGTACCTGGGTGGCTCAGTCGGTTAAGCGTCCAACTTTAGCTCAGGTCATGATCTCATGGTTTGTGACGTTGAGCCCCACATTAGGTTCTGTGCTGATGGCTTAGAGCCTGGAAACTGCTTTGGATTCTGTGTCTCCCTCTCTCTCTGCCCTCCCCTGATCACATTCTATCTCTCTCTCTCTCAAAAATAAACAAATGTTAAAAATTTTTTTAATTTTATTTTAATTCCTGTATAGTTAACACATAGTGTCACATGAGTTTCAGGTGTACAATCTAGTGATTCAATAACTCGATACATTACTCAGTGCTCATCATGGTACATGTACTCTTAATCTCCTTCACCTATTTCACCCATCCCTCCACCCATCTCCTCTCTGGTAACCAGAAGTTTGTTCTCTATAGTTAAGGGTCTGTATTTCGGTTTGTCTCTAGATCTCTTTCTAGATTGGCTGTGCTCCTTCCCATCACTGCCTTACACCTCAGTTCTGGGTGACACAGATGCCAAAGCTTGGTGTAAGCAAATGGTGGAGATGGAGGTGAGTACCTGGTAGTGGGTGATGGAGGGGCTGAAATGGGCCAATCAGAAGTTAATAGGCTCTCAGGTCACAGTGAAGTTAAGAAAGTGAATTTTCTAACTTTTATTTCCACAAACTTCTCCTCTCTGTAGTTGTTTCCCCACCCTGGGAGAGTGCCAATTATGAAACCAAGTCCAAATAGGAACGAGATAATATACTCCAGTCCAATCCACCCATGGAAAATCTCAGAAACCTAGGACGGGAGCTGTCCAGGATTAAGGTGAGGTGTAGTCAGAGTATCAGAAGCAGAGCTGGATCCTTTAAGCATTTTTTCTGGAAACTGAGGGGAAAAAAAAAACAGAACAAAACCTAATCTCAAAGACTTGCAACTTGGATAACAATGTGGGAACCGTGGGGCATTTGGATGGAAAGGGGAAGAATGTGGTTTCCCTGGGTAGTTGGAAGAACATACAATAGCTTTAAAACTTTATCAAAAACTCTTGATTGTGGTCCATGGATAGTACCTCTCCCTCCATGTATCCCTCCATCTCAAAGGTCTACCAGAGTATTACTCTGTGCACTGATTTCTGGATTTTGTCCTTGAGATGGCTGTCAAGATGCTGATTTTTTAAAAGATTACAGTGATAAATATTGTCATTTTTCCCCTAAATATATGAATATTTTTTAAGGTAGCAAGAGGCCACTACGAGAATGATTTTAGACTCATTCCAAGTTGGGTTACACCCACAAAGAATTATGGTCCTTGAGTAGCACTGGACTGAGTGCTGTGAGCTGCGTGCAGGTTGTTCAATTGCAAGTCAATGCAGAGTAAATTCATTGTCAAAATGGAATTAATTCAAAGGATGAGTGTGGTAGAAATTCAGAAAACAGAAAGAACTACACGGACTTGAGAGATCAAGAGACCTGTGTGGAAGAAGTGTCACTAGCCAGCCTAGGCTATTCAGAGAGAAGAACAGGGCCATTTATATGTTCCCTGATGGCAGAAAAGTTATGTTAAGGAAGATGGCGAGGAGCTGGCTAAAATGGGCATAAAAATTATATAGGGTTTCAAAGTCAGTTCAAGGGGTATGTACTTTATACTGAGGGTGAACTATCGACTTACAGATTAATTTTTAAAGCGTGGCATCTTGATGAAAGGGGGGTTTTAGGAAGCTTATTTGTTTAGCAGAAATGCAGTTTGGCTTGGAGACGGACAAAGCTGGAACTATGGAAGGCAAGGATTGTTCTAGATGGGCTGACAAAGGCCCAGAGAAGGTAGGAAGGGTACATGGATTAAGTGAGACAGCATTTTCTTTGCATTATAGCAGTTAGGGAAAGTTCCAGACAGGGCCAATGTCAACAATGATCATGGCTGGGGCGCCTGGATGGCTCAGTTGGTTAAGCACCCCACTCTTGATATCCGCTTAGGTCTTCATCTCAGTGTTTGAGTTCAAGCACTGAGTCAGGCTCTGCACTGGGTGTGGAGCTTTCTTTAAAAAAAAAAAAAGAATTGTCTTGGCTGTGGGAAGTGACAATCGCAGTGCTCCAACCTGAGGAAAGAAACCCAGCTTTATGCTTTTGGAGAAAGAGATTTAGTGTCTTGATTTTGTGTGGTGAATCTGCATGACACAACTCGTTTCAGTGCTAAGGCTGGGGGCTCCAACTGGCTCCACTAATAGGCATTCTGGAAAGGTTTTCCTAAGAAATTAGCTTCACGGAACATCGCTGCCCATCTGTTGGTTCTAATCTTTCTGACACGAGTTTACTTGCCAGGAGTATGCATGTCAATTTCATTTTCATCACTTTGGATGAAAATGCTTAGAGCAGGAAAACCAATTTGGTCCCTGGCGCTTTCTAGGTGCGTGGATTTCAGGGCCTCAGATGATTTCAGTGCCACACCTTAATTCCTTCCCGATCCCAAAGCTCCTTGTCCTTGAAGTTCTTTGAAAGCAAGCCTTAAAACCCTAGGACATAGTCCAAGCAATCAACCAGCCTCATACCCACCCACTCCCCTTCATCCTAAACTAAAGTAGCATGATTTCATTCTCCAACGTTTATTGACAGCCTGTTATGTATCAGATTAACTCCAATGGGAGTCATAGTATAATGAAGAAGTCAGATCACTAGACTTAGCAATTAAAGAAAGCCTCAGACTTACTGTGATAGGTGCAGTGGAGGATAGGGCTCTGGAGCCAGACCATTTGAAATCTAGCTCTGCTACTTGCCGGCTGTGTGACATTGGGCAAGTCACTTAACATCTCTTTTGTCTCAGTTCTCCCATCTATAAGTGAAAATAATAGTAGCACCTAGCCTAGAGGATTATTTTGAAGGTTAATTGAGGTAATATAAGACAAGTATTGAAAACAATACCTGAGATAAAGGAAGTAAGTGCTCAGTAAATATCAGCCAGTATATTCCAGCCAGGGGGAAGGGCCGACATGATGAAACATAGCATAGGGATAGCTAATTGTTGTTAGTACACGCTATTACATATGACAGATTGATAGCCACAGTCCACTCTGATTGGTTGTGGTAAATTTCTGATTGGCTGCTATGTCCGTTTTGATTGGCTGATGACTGTGCTGGTATGGATTATTATTCTTTTGTATCATTCCAGAATCTAAGTTATTGATTTTGAAATTTTATGATATGTATAGAATGCTTGCAAAAAAAGTAGTTCCTTGGACCCTAGCCCAGAGAATTAACTCAGTTAACATAGCATGAACCCTAAAATACTTTAAACAATACCTCAGGCCTCCCTTCTGAGAAACCCTGTGCTTTAGAGAGTCAGAGAAGATTATCTCGAAGACTTAAGATTTAAACAAAGACCTGAAATTCTAGTACCTTTGGGCAAGAATCTGAGGAGAGCAGAATGGGGCAGGAGATCGTTCGTCTCAGAGGGAATAGCGTGGGCAAATGCACAGGAGTTAGAGGGCAGAAGTTCAGAATGGCTGGAGTTCTGACTAGAGAGGTGGAAAGCAGCAAGCCTTGGAAAAGGCTCTGATAGACATTATACACTGTGTGTGTGTGTGTGTGTGTGTGTGTGTGTGCGCGCGCGCTTGCTTGCTTGCTTGCGCTTGCTTGCTTGCTTTAATCTTCAGGACAATGAATGGGAAGTCACTTAAAATATTTTAAGGATCGATGACAAGGATCATATTTACACACTGGAAAAGCTCTGGTCTCGTGCAAAGAGAGGAAGGGCAAGCAAGTCAGAGAGGCAGGAGGCTACCTGATGAATTTTCTAGAGAAGCCCTTCCCTTGGTGGCCTATTATCTCTCCTTACTTTTGCATTTAGCACTCTCTCTGACTCTCTCACTGCTTGACATTTGGACCTCTCTTGACTTAGCCACTCAGGCCTTATTATTTTTCTTCCCATCGGTGTGGCCTCCCTGCCTGAGGCTCTGGCAATTCAGGAATAGCAACCATGCTCTGGCCTCAGGCAGCCCAGGAAGAGGAGGAAGTGGGTGGGGGTGCCTGGAATGTAAGATATGGGGAGACATGGCTGTCTTGTCCATCTCTCTGTGGCTTCAGTAATGGCAACAAGTGTAGCAATAGCGTCACTTAGTAGTACATAGTAGGTGCTCAGTATATATGCCCCGAAAACTGGGAGCTCTGCCTCCAACAGTGGACCTAGCCATAAATACCAGAGGGCAATTCTAACTTCCTTCCACAGAGAGCATGGACTGATCTAGAATGACCCACCCTATCATTGTCAGTTAGGAGTCATTTTAATCCATCCTTTTGGTCATATTTCCTTCTTCTTTTTTGCCTCTTATTCTTTGCATATTTCCTAACAGGGAAAGAGGGCTATACATTATTTTTTAAATTAGTTAACCTCAAAATATTGTATTTTAGCTATACAAGCTATTCTGCGGTTGTATCTTTGGCTTATTTGGAATTGCTTTGCCAAAGCAGAGAAAGTACAAATCCTAGAAACCTGTTACACTCTCTAAACTCACTTCATAAACCCATCCAGAGTAATTTTCCACAAGGAGATTGAAAAAGAAAGAAGGGTGGGCCGTAATCAACTGTAGCACTTACCAGCTTACCCCTCAGATCTTACCCTTCTGCCAGCTTTTTGGGATAGGATTCCAGAAGGGCAGGAAGTAGAGAAAGGGGTTGAATAAGCTTCTAAAATGATCATAATTTTCCAAAGGCCATGTTTTAAAACCCTGGGATTAGTCCCCGGAAAACCATTTATTCAATTATTAAAACAAAGTTATGGATAATGCTCTTTCCTCCACCAGCTGACGGGCTGTTTGTTAAGGCTGAGTTGTACTTATTGATAATGGGGATTAGAAAGGGTTTGCTATTAAGTGCCAACTGCATGTTTAATTGTTACTGCAAGAAAAATATAACCTACTGGCTAACTGTGCAGAATTTTAAACAAAGTGCCCTTTTTTCTTTTGAAGGAATGTGGATGCTAACCAAATGCATCCGCCTGGTTTCAATTAAGCAGAGGAATGTTAAATGTAAAGCTAAATTGATGAAAATAACCAAACTTTCTGACAAACCAATAAATTGGAGTCTAGAACTCATTGCCCATACTGTATGGCAGCCAGAGAAACATTGCTAGATCATCAATTTTTACCTAATTTTTTGAGTTAGTTTATACTTAAAAAGAAAGAAGGAATGCTAGGAAAGTCATTTAAATTCTTCTCAGCTATCAACAGCGAATATGCATAGTGGATATAGACCTTATTATTCACAGTATGCAATAGAACTAATTGTTTATTCTTTTAGCAATTTCCTCGGTGACATTTTTGGAAACCTAAGACAACGTTCTGAGGGAACTGTCATGTCAACATTTTGGCAAATGATCTGGCAAAATGCTAGTCATTGGACTATTTTTCTAAACTCGTCTGAACTATTCCATGGCAATCCTTATTCTTTTAATTTTCCTCCCTTCAAAGTTTGTATTCCTTCATGTTGCTGTCACATTGAGATGACAATGTACTAGAAAAATTATGAGTTTGGGGAAAATTGTAAATTTCTTGCTGAAAACGGAGGATAAAATTACATAGTCAGAAATCTTGGCATATTTCTGCATATGTCAGATATTTCCATTTCTAATGTAGAAATTTATCTCTGAATAAGTCTTTATATTTTGAAGGAAATGGCAGGAAATAAACTGTTTAAACCCCAAACAAGTGGACGGTGAAGCTATCATCTGTATCATTGTGATCTTCAGGTGACATGAAAATGGGCATCCCTTGCTGAAATGTGTCCAGAAACCCTATGTCCAACAGGCTCA